GATGCTGACAAGCTGAGTGGTTGAGTAAAGGGGGAGGCGTATGGAGCTGATGACATGTCGCACTATCAATGTTGTACCTGGGTCAACAAATTTTCTTGTTCAATATTGTAAGATAATAACGGATCATCCTAGATGAGACCTTTTCCAAGTCTGTTTATAAATAAAGAAGCCGCTCTTCATATATTAATTATTTGAATCTAACATTTTATGCTAACTAATATCATAGCCCGGTTACCATTTGAATAAACCTTATTGACAAAAGAATACTCCTAATGTAAAACATTTATGCTAATCAAAATGGTTACAAAACAAAAAACAAAATAAATCATTGAACCTAATCTTACTCATGAATGTTAAAAGAGAATTTTTTTGAAAACTACATTAATGATGCAAGTAGTGAAACAAACCGAAAAAAGGTCATGACTGGGATTACAACACCAAACAAATACAAGTTTTCATAGGCAAACAAGGACAACTAACAATCGAACATTAAACTTTCATCTACAAATCTCTGTAGTTTTCCTCATAAAGCATAACGGTTAGATGCTGCGCCTCAACTGAAAGATCATCAGCTGTAATACATTGGAACACATCTAATCCTCCAATGGCATGAGCTTGCAACATCAAAACAGATGCAACACCAAAATCCCACTGTTTCCGATTTTACAGAATGCTTTTTGGCCTCTCTATGTTAAATGTTTTAACATCTTTAGCACAAAGACTATGTCCAACCTGCTTTAGCAAATAGGAAAACATTTTTGCAACATGACTCAACTCTTTGGCAATGTATGTAAGACATCACAATCCAGAACGTAGACTATCGATGCCAGACAATCAACACAGATGCCAACCCAATGTGACTTGTCAAAATTGAAGGGAAAATAGAAATGCTCAGCATGAACATTCACAGCATTTTCCTCACTGAAATACTGTTTCAGTTGTTTTTGAAACTGATGCCATTCTTTCTTCTACAACTTGGAAAATTTAGTATAGTTCCTCCCAAGGCAAGAAACAATTTTTGTATCAAAGAAAACACCATTCTCTGACACAGCTAAACCTGGTCGGAGTAAAAGTTTCTTGGTATGAGCTATTAATATATCAACAACCTGTCATAAAAAGATTAGTATATAATAACATATAGCAATACATTTAACTCATTACATAATAGGTTTTCTGACAAAACAATACCTTAGCCAGCAAACATTTGGATTTCCCATAAATATCTGCGAAATCTTTAACTGTAACACTAACCCCTCCAAGACTTAGGCTCCTAAAAAACACAAAAAACATAGATGCTAACTATAATCATGTCCACCAATAAATATTGTATATATTGCATGTGATAAAATCCCTATATTGAACAGTCCAACATGTATAACAAACTTACACCATTCCTTTTAGCTTATCATCCAACTGGCCAAACTTTTGAACATATAACTCCGCAGAACCTCCACCAATAGTAGTAAGATAGGTTTCTCTAGCCTGGTGAAGAAGCCTCTTGTCACATTGATAGTCCCCAACAAGGTTTGCTGGGATGGTTCTCTGTCTCTTGCTCTTACGACATATAACACCTTCTCCAATGTCCTCTCCAACATCCTCAATAGGTTCCACAACGCTATCCACCTCAGTACGAACCCCAACTAAGCCATTGTGCTTCTGTGATAGGCCAAGTGAGAATGAGGGTGGATAACATAACATCGTCGATTTTATAGCATCTATATCAACATATATTCATTTACATTTATGAACGTACAACTTATTTTAGCCGGTTAATTTTACAAATAACATGTCAATCAATGGTATAGACGGATACAATATTATTTAACCTATACAGTTACTAAATAGCTAGAAAATTGAATAATGCAGAATTTAAAGATAAAGAAAGAGATCTAGAGAATAATTTTGTTTGAATTTCAACTTGATCAAGTGGCTGAGCCACTGAAGTATCAACAAAACCCTTAAGACACAATAACATTAAGAGATGTCACTACCAATACAACTGATTATACCAATGATTGCTTTATATGTTAGTACCAAATAGAGATATTACTTACATTTACTTCTACTCCATCACCGCCACCGTTGTCCCCAACTTGAGAACAATTGCCACCAACTCCAACCTAATGGATTAGAAAAAAAATAAGACAACCATATATTAAAGACACGATAAACAAAGAGAATCAAATATAATTACACATACTGTCTGAAATGCATCTCTTGTAAAGGTTCCATGAACAACTGCTATGATAGTATCACATTCGCCATTTCTATTTCCTATTACATGCTCCTGATTTTGATTCTCTCTTGGTACGCTGTTGACGTTTCTTTGCTATCTAGGTATGGATTTCGGAGTACATTCTTTAGACACAGACTTGTTCAAAAAAGAACATATCCCATCAATCACATCAGTTTTCATCTTTGTAATCTGCAGAACCACCACAGCTCCCATGTTTATATCCATAACATTAACTGCATCTTTAAGCTCCCCTACAACTGCAACAGAGTCATTAACTTTTTGCTCCAAATAGTTCATTTTCCCCATAATGTTAAAAGCAACCATATCGGCGATTTGAAGGAGATCACTATTAGTGAAGGATATTCCTCCAACAACACCGCTACTTGGTCCATCAATATCTGTATTATTCACAGATTTCTTCTGCTTCCCTTTTGCATTCTTGGTTTTCTCCTCTTTGATCATACGAATAACATCAGCTTTGGTAGCACCGCCAGAAAACATTGAACTGCAAAAATCATGATCTTCTTTGATTAGGCGCAACAAGTTATCCACCTTAGAATCCACAACGTCGTCATCATATCCAAGCTCAGCCTCATCAATCTCAATGTCACCATCATCTGGTATGATGCAATCAACTAATGTCTACATTACAAAAATTAAAACAAACAATTATTCACTTATCCGGTAATATAACAAATTAGCCTTTAAAATTCATGTTAACCTACAAACTAATCATACAAAATCAAAAAATACCGCATACCGTCTCCTCCTTGTGAAGGTCCTTAGCATGCGAAGGACTCAAGCTTATATTCTTCTTAGGAGGTTCATCAGTATCCTCCTCCTCCTCACTAACACGTTTGTTCGTGTTTGTTTTTTTTTATATTTTTAAAAGGATTTTTCCAAAATTTATTTTCAAAAAAAAAAAAAATTTTTCATAAAAATAATAAGATAGGAATTATGATACTTTTCTAGGATTGACGTTTTGATTTCTAAGACTATGTGACCATTGTTGCAGGGTTTTGTTCATGACAATCGATTCAGAAACCTCATGATGGAACTTCCGTTCAGAAAATTTCTACTTGCAACTG